TTCATGCCTAAGGTGGGACTAGAACTCACAGTCTCCTGGTGATTGGCGCAAAGTCACCCAGCCATCTTTCATGCCTAAGGCGGGACTAGAACTGACAGTTATCTGGTGATTGGCACCAAACCATCCAGCCGGCTTTCATGCCTAAGGCAGAACTAAAACTCACTGCCTCTTGGTGATTGGCCCAAAGTCACCCAGCCATCTTTCATGCCTAAGGCGGGACTAGAACTCACAGTCTCCTTGACCTGGAGACATGTCAAACCCCAAAGGTCTGGGTTTGTTGCTTAAGGGTGTTTCCTCTGCTAGCAAAGGAACCTCCACCTTGCTTTCTCTCTCACACACGCACTTACCAAAAGCTTGCTTGGATTCCGACAGTCTTTCCTCATCGGTGGAATCGATAATGTAAATGACCCCATGGGATTCTGCATAGTACTGAGGCCACATAAAAAGCAAAACAAAGGGAAGTCGGTTAAGGAAGCTTTAAGCTTTCATTGCATTACACTACATCATCTACACGACATTCTATTCCTCGGTGCAAACCTACATTAAAATACATCTGGTTGCAAATATAATAAAAACCCCAAGCAATACCGCATAGAATAAAATTTTGAATGTTGAAAGTTAAATATGTGCTGAAATTTTAAATAATACGATTCTTGCTTATTCTGTTAATGTTGTAGATGGTATTTTAATGGTATGAATATAACTGCTTAGAATGCATCTTGGCAAGCCGGGTAGCATAGGCAGAGACTGATAGACAGGAGAGGAGAACAGGGGAGAAGAGAAGAGAAGAGAAGAGAGAGGAGAGGAGAGGAGGCGAGGCAAGGCAAGACAAGACAAGACAGATTCAAGTAAAGAGTAGAGCCATCAATATTCAAACTACCTTAGAACAGGGGTGTCCAATCGTGGCAACTTCAAAACTTATGGACTTCAACTCCCAGAATTCCCCATGTTGGCTGGGGAATTCTGGGAGTTTGAAGTCCACCGGTCTTAAAATTGCCATGGTTGGAAAAGATATTCCGTACTTGCAAGAACTTCTAATAGTAAAATATTGTTAGATGAGCACTCCAAACTTTACCAGTATGGAATAATCACTGAAATATGGCGAGTATCTGAAGAAGGGAACGATAAAATTAACTAATCAGAACAGAGCCAGAAAAGACCTTGGAGCTTTTCTAGTCCTATCCCCTGCTCAAGCAGGAGACCCTACACCCGTGATGGGGAACGTATAGCACGCGTGCCATAGGTGGAACGCAGAGCCATTTGTGCCGGCACGCGAGCTGCAGGGAAACTTACCTCACTGCGCATGTGTGCGCCTCACAGCTGATTTTTGGCTGGTTTGAGGCCTTTTTCGGCCTCCCAAAGGCTTGAGGAAAGTTTCTGCAGGCTTCTGCAGGCCGAAAACTAGCCCCGTTTCATCACTTCCTGTTTTTCCGAAAATACCGGAAGTGACGAAATGGGGCTAGTTTTCGGCCTGCAAAGCCTGCAGAAACCTTCCTCAAGCCTTTGGGAGGCCGAAAAAGGCCTTAAACTGGCCGAAAATCAGCTGTGAGGTGCAGTGCAGGTAAGGGGGCAGTGTGGGTGGATGGGTGGAGATGCATAGGGGGCGTGGGGGGGCATGCATTGCCTTCTGGGTGTTGGCACACGAGTGCGAGCATGCAAGTACGTGCACAATTTTTGGCACGGGAGCCCAAAAAGGTTAGCCTCCACTGCCTTATACCATTTCAGACCTCTAACTAATAATTTAGACTCATTAACTTATTAATGTAATTAACTTATTAACTAAGCTATGCCAACATATCTGGAGAATATCACAATAGCTAACAGACTGGAAAAAGTCCAACAAATATTCCAACACTCTCGAAGGAAACTCTATACAGGCAGATCCTCGACTTACAACCGGTTGTTGAGTTTACCATCTGAAGTTCTGACGGACCTACCTGGATTTGGATTCCAAGGTCCAATGGTTCTGCCCCTCCCACGGTGGTCATGTGACTGTCCAAGCAGCCACAGGAGCGCATTTTGTGATGTTTTTAACCCAAAATTGGTGTTTACGTCCGGTTTCAGCAAAATTGCGTCCGTAATGCACGGTTGATTTATTTAAGGATCGTATAATTCTGAGGTCATATCTGTCCACCCTACCTTGTCCCAAAGAGATTGAAGTTCTTCCTGTCCTCCTAGGTCCCAAAACATCAGCCGAGCTTTTCCAACGTCTATGGTGCCAACTGGAAGACACAAGCGGACAATTCAAAGTGTAAATTTTTTTTTCTGCATTACGTCTTAATTTAACTTTTTTGGGGTCGACTCAAGTCTAAAACAGAGGCATGCAACAGAAAGTCAAAAGAGCTTTGGAGATACAGATGGCGTGAGGGTCCCAATGGAAGCCCTAATCAAATCATGAGCCTTGAGCCAAACTTCAAAAGAAATCCAATGATTTATTAGGAGCAACGTGTCTGCACTTACCCTAACGAAACCAGCGTTGCCTCACGTAATTTATGGCGCACCTATGCCCCGTTTCCCCCCCGCTCTCCCCTGGGTGTGTCATAAATCACATTCTTCAACCAGGGACTTTCACAGGCTCTAGAGCAGGGGTCCCCAACCACCGGTCCGCGGACCGGTACCGGTCTGTGGAACAAGTCCTACCGGGCCGCTGGTTTGCTGGGCGCCGCCATCTTGTTTTGATGAAAAAGTGCTTCCGGTGAGCTCACCGGAAGCACTTTTTCATCAAAACAAGATGGCGGTGCCCAGCTGATGTCGGTACCGGGCCGCACCATAAAAAAGGTTGGGGATACCGGGCCGCGGCGTAAAAAAGGTTGGGGATCACTGCTCTAGAGCAGTGGTTGCCAACCGGTGGGCCACAAGAAAATTTTGGTGGTCCGCAGAGAAATGTCACTCCTAGAGCATCCCCCAAAGCAATTAATTCAGGCTGCATGGGAACACAAGGCTGCACCGCCACCTGACCCACAGGAACCCTCCCCGCCTGCTCACTCCTTACCTGGCAAACTTGCCTGCTAAGTTGCTATTTTTCCTTCCGCCCCACCAATCGTCATCTGTTCTGCTGTGCCGGGAGATTTAGATTAGCTAGAAAGCAGGAAACCATTGGATTCCTTGCTTTCTAGCTAATCTTTAGATCTTCGACTCTGCTTTTAAGCAGAGCCGAACTTTCCTTAGGACTGAAGCTTCTATTATTCAGTGCAGACTCAGGCAGCAGATTGCAGAAAGGTAGATCTCTGAGTGAATCTGTGATTCTGTGAGCAACTCAATCTGCCCACCTGCTTTGCCTGATTTGGGGCAAAAGTTGCTTTTTTTTTTAATAAAAAAAATCAACATTTACATACATGATGTTTTGCGAGTTAATTCTGTGAGTTTGCCTGCAAGCAAATTTTATATGACAGACTCAGGTAGCCAATGGCAGAAAGATAGATCTCTGAGTGAATCTGCCTGCCTGCTTTGCCGGATTTTGGGTAAAAGTTGCTCCTTTTTTATTAAAAAAAAAATCAATATTTACATACATATTTATAATATTTACATACAAGCCATGCCCAGCCAGTCACATGACCACCAAGCCACACCCACAGAACCGGTTAAGAAATTTGAATCCCACCCCTGCCTCTGTGTTTGTGTGTGTGTGTGAGAGAGAGAGAGGGAGAGAGAGATTAGATCAGATCTCTCTCTCTTTCTCTCTCCCACCAACGTCAGTCAACCGTATTAGTGGTCCCTGGGATTTAAAATTATGAGTTTGGTGATCCCTGAGGTCCAAAAGGTTGGTGACCCCTGCTCTAGAGACCACGCCCCTCCAACTGGATCGACATTGGAGAGACAGACGCCTTGGTGAGGAATGCATGGAATGTACTTTTGGGGTTTTATGTTTTGGATTGCCTTGCTGCTTCTTCAGGATTTCTCCCCCCACTCCGTAGGGCAACTCGAAAGGAGGCTAGGAATGGGTTTACAAGTTGATAGGTAGTCCTTGACTTACAACAGTTCATTTAGTGACCGTTCGAAGTGACAACAGCCCTGAAAAAAGAGACTTAGGACTGTTTTTCAAGGTTACGACCATTGTAGCATTCCCCAGGGTCACGGGATTAAAATTCAGATGCTTGGCAATGGGTTCACACTTAGGATGGTGGTGGCGTCCCCGTCATCAAGCAATCAGAATTCAGACCCTTGGCAACTGGCTCGTATTTATGACGGTCGCAGTGTCCCCCGGGGGAGGGGGGGTGAGCGGGTCACGGGATCCTCTTTTGCGACCGTCCTGATGAGAGAAGTCAATGGGGAAGCCAGATTCTCTTAACCACCATGTGACTAACTTAACAACTGCTATGATTCCCTTAACCAATGTGGCAAGAAAAATTGTAAAACGGGGGAAAACTCACTTAAGAAATGTCTCGCTTATAACGCAACATAAATCCTGAGCTCGGTTGTGGTCGTAAGTCAAGAGGAGGACTAGCTGTACACAATTTTTATTTTCCGCATTATGATGAATTCTTCCGGGCCTCATCGGTCTAAAGCAGAGGCAATGCAGTAGGACAGGGATTAGGGATTATGGCCCTTTAGTGACTTTGTGGACTTCAACTCCCAGAATTCCTGTGTGATGACCCAGAGCGTGGCACAAAGACAACATAGTCACATAAGGAAGAAGAGTCCCTTTAATACCTCCAACTTTGCCGCCAATGTCCAGGTTACCTTTAGCTGGAGATAAAGCTCTCCCAAGAACACTCTTTAAGTGGAGGAAATTCAGTCCGAAAACAAAGTACATATAAACTGTAAATAAAAATCCACACAAACCACGCTGCGGCAAGTAACTGGACAGGGCAGGAGAAGGAATTGCAGACTTCAAAGACCAACAAAACACACACAGTTGGGTAGACGCCGGGAACCCAGATAAGCCTCGGCCATAAAAGATAACTCACGGTTTGCTTCCAGCAACTTTGCTGTGCGTAGCTTGCCTTTTTAAACACTGTTTTCCTAGCTGCGGCTAATGAAGGGAATCAGGGCCCTTTCCTCACCCGTAAGTCATGCAACTCACGTTGCTCTCTTCTCCGTTCCTCCTTGCATGCCCTAGGATGAAGAGGGGGTGGGCCTGGATCTTCCTCTGAATGCCCAGCCGGACTGTGCCCTTCCCCAGTTTCCTCCACAGCCACCGGAGCCACACTCCCACTCCCTCTCAGCTTCTCGACCTCCACCTCGGAATCAGATTGCAACGCAGGCATGACATCCTGAGCCAGCCATAGCAACAGGAAGTCTAACTCCTGGGTATAATTCCTTGAAAATTTGCTCCTAAATTGAAATCTGAATGTTGCGGTGGGGATTAATCCTTTACGTTGAATCCAATTCACTTAATGTTATTTTAATCAATTGTCCAGGTAGTCCTGGACTTAAAACTGTTCGTTTAATAACCGTTCAAAGTTACAGCAGCCCTGGGGGAAAAAAGGGACTTAGGACCACTGCTCACACTTATGAACCACCATCACGTGATCACATTTTGGCTGCTTGGCAACTACCCTGTTTCCCCGAAAATACAACCTACCCTGAAAGTAAGTCCTAGCTTGATTTTTACACGTGCACCAAATAGAAACCGTACCCCGCAAAATAAGCCCTAATGTAATACATGTAACATGTATTTACTACCGGTTGCAGGGTCTTAGGACTGGGACCGCTTCCGACAAGCAAAGGCAATATGTCAAATGACCTACCACCCTTTTTCACACTTATGACCCTTGCAGCATCCTTGTGGTCACGTGGTCAAAATCGAGACGCTTGGCCATTGGTTCATATTTACGATGGCTGCAGCATCCCGGGGGTTGTGTGATCTCACTTTGCGACCTTTTGACAAGCAAAGTCGATGGGGGAAGCAAGTTAAACAACCCTGGCGCTAGCTTAACCGCCGCAGCAAGAAAGGTCGTAAAAATGGGGCAAAACTCACTCACTCAGCAACCGTCTTGCTTAACGACAGGAATACTGGGCTCCATTGTGGTTGTAAGTCGAGGACCACCTCTATAGAAGTGGCTTGCCTTGTCAGCGTTGTTGGGACGATCAAGGAACTGTCAGTTCAGACAAAGCATCCAACAGCAAACCATAGCCTAGTCAAGGAACCATGAAGAACACTCCCAACAATACGGACATGGGAAGCCACTTGTATATAAACAGAGAGCAAACCTCACTCCCCTCTAGCACTGATAATATTACCTAGTTGGGTCATGAAACGTCTGCAAGAAAATAACCAAGCTCAGAGAGTACCAAGGACCTCACAATCTTCCTCCTCGTTTTCCTCCCTGCACTCCTTTCCAGCACATATGATGTTACCTACCATGTTTCCCCCAAAACAAGACCCTGTCTTATATTCTTTTGCCACAAAAAATAAAAGGGACCAGGTCTTATTTTTGGAGGACATACACTGACTAACCTCACTTGCACATGTCGCCCCCGGCCTCCTTTTTGCTGTCAGAGGCCTTCAGGCACTTTTCACTTCTGCGGCTGGCAAGGCTTTCCTGAAGGCCTCTGCAGACGATAACAGAGCTCAGGATCGATCCAGAGCTTTGTTATCAGCTTCAGAGGGCTTCAGGAAAGCCTTCCCACCCTTGCTGGCTGCAGAAGAAAAGGGCCGGCAAGACAGGTGCCGGGGTGTGCGAGGCCTGGCTACAACTGTCCAAAAGTAAGTAGTAGGGCAGCTCCACCTTCCCCCAATCCCCACACTAGCTTAATTTTTACCCATCCACTATGGAGTGGGTGGGATCTGAATTAGGGCTTATTTTGAGGGGTAGGGCCTATATTGGGCGCACATGTAAAAATCAAGCTAGGGCTTACTTTCAGGGTAGGTCGTATTTTCGGGGACAGAGTAGTTGGGTCATGAAACATCTGCAAGAAAACAACCAAGCTGAGAGAGCACCAAGGACCTCACAATCTTCCTCCTCCTCCTCCCTGCACTCCTTTCTAGCCCTGATGATGTTACCTAGTTGGGTCATGAAACGTCTGCAAGAAAACAACCAAGCTCAGAGAGCACCACGGTTGAGAGTGATTTCTCCTCTGAATGCACACTGATGGGGCTAATTTTGTGTCCCCTCGGCATCTCTTGAGTGACATCAAAGCTTTGGGTAACATCAATCCAAGGCAAACGTCACCCACTCGTATTCTACCGCACTTGAGCTACCGAGAACGACTTACTGTTCAAACCGACAGTGGTGGTGATTTTGGATAAACTCATTCCTTTGTAGGTCTTGTTGAATCTCATTTTGGTTTGTTCAAGAAAGGTCTGGAGGAAAAAGAAAGAAAGAAAGGAAAGGTAAAAGAAAATTTGAGTTGTTTACATTCGTTATACATATTTACTAGCTCGATACCCATGCTTTGCTACAAAACTATGTGGTTGGGCTTAGTTTTGGGGGAGGAAAATAAGGGGGGGGGGAATTGTGCCTCTGCCTACCAGCGTCCATTGGCATTCATCTGGCTAGCATCCTGTCAGTGTGTGAGAGAGTTGAGGGCTGTTTGGAAACTGAAAGAATATTTGCTGTGTGAGCAAGGAGACAGCAAGGAGCCTGGGTGTGGCTTAGCTCAACTGTTCTGTACTAAAGCTGCTTGGTGCTGTGAAAGTAAAACTAAAACAAACTCCTCTCCTCTGCTTGTGTTTTGACTTTGGTTCTCCAAGGACATTATTTTTAATGATATATTCAGCATCTTTTTTTTTTTTTGCTATAATGGACTTGCAACCAATAAGTGACTGTTCAAAGTTACAACAGCACAGAAAAAAGTGATGTGATTGGTCCTCACACTTACAACAGCCATAGCATATGTTTTCCACACTTAGGACCGTTGCAGCATTCCCATGGTCATGCAATTAAAATTTGAACGCTTGGCAACTGACGTGTATTTTTGACCCTAAACCTATAATCTTCTCCACTGTCCTGGCCACTTTCCGTAGGGACTTTCTATCTGCTATCCTCACCTCTCTCTGTATGGGCTATCAGAGGCACTGCTGCCAAAGCAAGCAGGAATGTAGTTTGTTAAAACGCTCTCAATTGCGCCTCTGTAAAAAGTGGTCAGGACACAAGAAATGCAGAGCCTGGTTTGCACACAGTTAATCTCATGAAGTCTTGGCAATTTCAACATTATTTTTTTTATTATTGTAGAATTTTCACTTGCGGAGGCCCTGAATGTGACAGCCTCCTCCCTCACCTGCAGGTGACACCCCCTAATGAAATTAGAGATGGGTGAAATTGATCTCATCCAGTGAGATAAATTGGAAGGTGGAAGTTTCTATCTTGTGACTCGGAATAAACCAACACAAGAACAGAGAGCGGGAAGAGTGGAGATTTCCCCATTTCTATGAACGAGCCTAGATAACACACCGTTTTTCCAGCATTGTCCAATCCCAGGATTAAGATGCAGTATTCATCTCGCCGGAACATATATTTGTAAAGCCCGGAAAGCAGTGTGTACATTGTGCTCCTGTTAAAACAAAGACAACAAAATTTAATTGGCCAAAAGATCCTTATTTTTCCCTTATACCGCTTCCTCCTCCAAACCTGGGCAGGAATTTCCCTTGTAAATGAAAAGGAACGGAGATTTGGTTGAGGTTCACCAAATGATATAACGGTTATTTTCCCCAAGACTTTCTAAAAGGATGAACCTGTGTGAGTACAGAATTATATCTTTATTTATTTACTTATTGGTATCCCACTTTCATTATTTATCTCAAGGCAGCAAACATATCCAACATACCTTCCTATTTCACTGACAACGACTCTGTGAGGTAGGGCTGAGAGAAAGAGTGACTGGCTCACAGTCACCCAGCCAGCTTTCATGCCTAAGGCAGAACTAGAACTCACTGTCTCCTAGTGATTGGCCCAAAGTCAGCCAGCCATCTTTTGTGCCTGAGGCAGAACTAGAAATCACCGTCTCCTAGTGATTGGTCCAAAATCACCCAGTTGGCTTTCATGTTTAAAGCAGGACTAGAACTCACCGTCTCCTGGTGATTGGCTCAAAGACACCCTACTGGCTTTCATGCTTGACAATCTACCACTTACTGGTACCTTAACCACTTGGTCTAGGCACGAAGTGATTATACAGGTACCGTGTTTCCCCGAAAATAAGACCCTGCCTTATATATATTTTTTGCCACCAAAAAAGGCATTAGGTCTTATTTTCGGGGGATACCATCCACTGACTAACCTCACTTGTGCACATCGCCCCCGGCCTCCTTTTCGCTGCCAGAGGCCTTCAGCACTTTTCTCTTCTGCAGCCGGCAAGACTTCCTTGAAGGCCTCTGCAGTAGATAACAGAGCTCCAGATCGATCCACAGCTTTGTTACCAGTTCCAGAGGCCTTCAGGAAAGCCTTGCCAGCCTTGCTGGCTGCAGAAGAAATGGGCCAAGGCAGGTGTCGGAGTGTGAGAGGCCTGGCTGCAACTGTCCAAAGGTAAGTAGTAGGGCAGCTCCACCCCTCATTCCCACCTTAGCTTAATTTTTACCTGTCCGCTCTGAAGTGGGTGGGATCTTAATTAGGGCTTATTTTGGGGGGTAGGGTTAATATTGGGCGCACGTGTAAAAATCAAGCTAGGAGTTACTTTCAGGGTAGGATCGTATTTTGGAGGAAACACTACTAACTAGAGCATACAAAACATTTGCCAGACCAATACTCGAATACAGCTCATCAGTCTGGAACCCACATTACGTATCTGATATTAACAGTGGAGAAAGTCCAGAAATATTTCATAAGAAGAGTTCTCCACTCCTCTATTCGTTGCAGAATACCTTATGCCACCAGACTTGAAATTCTAGACCTAGAAAACCTAGAACTATGCCGCCTTCGGTCCGATCTAAGTATAGTATATAAAATCATACATTGCAATGTCCTACCTGTCAATGAATACTTCAGCTTCAACCATAACAACACAAGAGCAAACAATAGATACAAACTCAAGGTTAACCGCACCAAACTTGATTGCAGGAAATACGACTTCAGCAACAGAGTGGTCAATGTCTGGAATACTCTACCTGACTCTGTGGTTTCTTCCCCAAACCCCAAAAACTTTAACCTTAGACTGTTTACTATTGACCTCACCCCTTTCCTAAGAGGCCTGTAGGGGGCGTGCATAAGCGCACCGAAGTGCCTACCGTCCCTGTCCTACTGTTTCTTTTATATTTTTCTTATATGTATCCATGTATTCATAACTATGAGTATGTTTTTACTTATACCTATTATCTTGTAAGCAATTGACAAACCAAATAAAATAAAAATAAATAAATTATAAGTTACAACTCTTAATTTACAAAGGTAATATAACTGGGTGCATCTCACTTAACAACTCCCTTCCTGTCCAACGGAAATTCTGGTCCTAAGTGCAGTCATAAATTGAGGACAACTTGTAATCCTGCCCTTAGAGATCTGCCTTTTTCACACTAGAAAAATTGGTACGGTAGTAGAACCAATTCCACATTGCTTTCAAAGAACCTACACGGACACTTCCACCAAGCGTGAAATGCAACTCGAGGGAGAGGTTAGGTATATACAACCGGAGTGCTGTGCACATCGAAGCAGGTACAACAGGTGGCAGCAGCTACCAGTTTTCAACTGGCCTTGAAAAACTAAGGGTTGGCCCAGATTAGCAGGAGGTAAACAATCGGAATAAGCAGAGGCTAGAATTTCCCTTGCAAAGTAGACTTAAAACTCAAAAATCTGTCCCTGCAGCAGAAATAACACAATTTTTGCATCGTTGCTCAGAAAACAACAAGGTTGGGACCAAAAGCCATCGGAAGTCGAGTTAAAAATTGCAAATACCAGGCAGTCCTAGCCTTACGACCTTAATTGAGCCACACATTTCGGTCACTAAGGGAGGCATTTGTGAAGTGAGTTTTGCCCCGTTTTACGAGCTTTCTCTCCGTAGTTGTTAAGTGAATCACTGCCGTCATTAAGCTAGTCACATGGTTGTGAAGGGAATCTAGCTTCCCCCATTGACTGGGCTGGTCAATAGGTCACAAAAGGGGATCACGCAACCCCAGGACACGTCATAAATATGAAGCAGTTGCCGAAAAGTCTGAGTTTTGATCATGTGACCATGGGGATGCTGCAACAGTCATAAGGGTGAAAAATGGTCCGGAGTCACTTTTTTCAGCAACGCTGTAACTTCAAATAAATGAACTGATGTCTTTTTGGTGGCAAATATATATATATATATAAGACAGGGTCTTATTTTTGGAGGAACATGGTAGCTTAAAGTTAGCAAGATTGAGAAACACTTTGTCTACAGTTATCAGAGTTGGAAGGGGCCACCTTTTATTTACTTTCTTTTAAGACAGTTTTATACCTGCTCACAAAGCACGCATGCATCAATTGCTTGTACTGTAATAAAGCAATTCTTGTTTGTATAATGCATTATTCCTGTTTTTAGTTGCAGTTTCTCAGGAGGAAGGCAAATGATGGTGTCTTGTGCATGGGGGGAAGGCCTGAGTTTTTGAAATTTAGGATAGGTTTGGGTTTATAAAGAAGAAAAATGTTCCCCCACCCGGGGTCAAGGAGAGGGGAAGCTGGGCCAGGCTGAATTCAAAGCCCAAATCCTTCCAGTTTCCCTTAGAAAGGAGCACATCACGCCACAGGATTAGAGTACCAGGCAGGCACGCAATACCAAGACAAAGAGAGCTCCTGTGCATGTGAAGAATATTTTATATTTATATCCGATCTATCAATTTAATCACTGGAACAACTTACTTCCAGAAGTTGTGAATGCTCCAACACTTAAAAACTCTAGTTTTTAAGAAGAGTTTGGACAACCATTTGTCTGAAATGATATAGGGTGTCCTGCTTGAGCAGGGGGCTGGACTAGAAGACCTCCAAGGTCCCTTCCAACTCTGTTATTCTAATATATTCAATCTTTAAGGAACAGCCTAAATAGAATCTCTCCTGACATTTACACTTCAATAAAACAGCTATGAAATACTGGAAAAACAAGGGTCATATAGGGGGGGGGGGGGGGGGGGGAAGACCCCCCCGCGCGAATATTTGGATGTGACACCACAAGGAGATCCCACTACAGATAGTTCTCGACTTTCAACAGTTTCATTTACTGACCGTTCCAAGTTGCGTCATTGAAAAAAGTGAAGTATGACCCTTTTTTCCACTTATGATCGCTGCAGCGTCCCCATGGTCCCGTGATCAAAATTCAGACGTTTGGCAACTGGCTCGTATTTATGACGGTTCCCGTGATCCCCTTTTGCGACCTTCTGACCAGTCGATTCCCCAGATTCGCTTCAAAACCATGTTACTAACTTTTAACAACTGAAATGATTCACTTAACAACGGGGGCAGGAAAGGTTGTAAAATGGGGCAAAACGCGACAAATGCCTCACTTAGCAACAGAAATTTGGGGGGGGGGCGCTCGGTTGTGGTCGTAAGTCGAGGACGACCTGTACAATGGGAACAAATATATATATATTATCTCAGCAAGGAATTACCTGCAATTGGCTTTATTATTCATGCAAATGTATTGGCCGTTCAACGTCCTCTGGCAAGTGTCAAGAGGGCCTCTGAGCATGCACAGAGTGATTTCCTTTGCCCCAGCAACCTCAATAAGCCGCTTCTGGATCCAGCCCACCCAGATGCCTTTCCCACCGGCGAGATGGGGATGGGAGTCCCGCCTTCCCCGCTGGGGTTTGGCCTTCGCTGTCCCCGTGAAACACCCTGCACTCCCCGAGGCGGGCGGCGCCGGACTTACCGGGCACTTTACAAGGGAGGCGAATTCGGTTAACGGCTCCTGCTCGCCTTCCTTATGGGCTTCTTCCGCAGCCTGCCCCGGTAGTGCGAGGCACCCTGGGAAATGGAGTCCCGTCCCCGCCGGCGACGGCATCCCGCTGCCTGTAAAGGACCACGATCCCCATGAGCCTCTGCGCCTTCACGCCGCGCCCTCTTTTGCATCGCCGGGCACGAACCATAGACAAGGAAGGAAAGAAGAGGGAGGCGGTGCCATTTCCTGTCATATTCGCCGAATACGTACCATAGACAGAGAAGGAAAGAAAAGGGGGTAAGGAACCATTTCCGGTCGGATTCGCTGGGCACGAATCATAGACAGCGAAGGAAAGAAGAGGAAGGAGGAGCCATTTCTGATTGGATTCGCCGGGTATAAACCATAGAATAGAGAAGGAAAGAAGAGGGAGGCGGAGCTATTTCCGGTCGGCTTCTCTCTCTAGCCATGAAAGCCTATATAAGGAGACCGGAAGTGGAGGCGGATTTCGAGAGCTGTCATGGCGGTCGTTGGATACTGAAAGGGGGAAAGCCGTCCGTCGTTGGTCGTTCTGGTGAACCTCTTTCCCCTCGCTTGGGTGGCGCGCGAGAGCTTTCGCTGGTCTCCACTCGGACCCCGTCCAGAAGCCTAGGACTACAACGCTAATCGTACTCCATGCTAGTTGGACCCATATGGCTGTGGATGATGGGACATGAGTCCATTGTCTTGGGTGGGCTGAGACTTCCTTCTGGCTTTTTTTGGTCTAAATTAACTGCAAACGAAAGAAAGGCCTAGCTTGGAACGAGGCCTATTCCTTTCTGCTCGCAAATCCTTTCCCCCCCCCGTTTATTTCCTCTTTTTTTTTTGCTGGGGCTTTTCAGGTTGAATTTCTGCTTGGTTTAGAAGCAGAAGCTGCCAGCCCTGAAGAATAAAAGGAAAATAATAATATTCCTTCTCCCTGCCAAAAGACCAGGTGGAGTTGCCACCTTTTCTTTCTTGCCTTTGTTCCTGTGCCATTAATATCAACTGCAGAAATGAATTTCTTCAGAAATTAACAAATATCAACCGCAGAAAATTTTATTCCCTTCATATCTGAAATTATTTCATTGCCTGCTCATAAAAGGCTCATAAAAGCAGCAGAAGAGGGGGGGGACTATAACTTGGTTGCATTTTTTATTTGCAGTGTTAGGATTTTCTAACCTGACAAAAATGGTTTTCTAGCTTGGTTTTCCTTTGAAATGTTGATCTGTTTTGTTTTTCCTGAAAAGGCACTTGATGTGATTGGTTCCCCTCATTTCAGGAGTCATAACACATTTTATTGCAAAATTTCTGCTATTTTAGAAGATAGAGTAAATATCTTGGTGCATTTTAGATGCTAACTTTGTAATTTCCCAATACAGGTAGTCCTTGGTTTACAGTCATTTGCTTAGTGGCCATTTGGAGTTACGACAACACTGAAAAAAAATGATTTATGAACAGTTTTCACACTTAATGACAATTGCACTGTCCTGGGGTCACATCACACCCACCCCCCCTTTATAACCTTCCCATCTGGCTTCTGACAAGCAAAATTATGGGGGAAGCCAGATTTACTTAACAACGACAGGATTCACTTCACAAATGTGGCAAGAGAGGTTTAAAAAAGGGGGCACAACTCACTGAGCAACTGCCTTGCTGAGCCGCGGTGGCATAGTGGTTAGAGTGCCGTACTGCAGGCTATTTCTGCTGACTGCCAGCTGCCTGCAATTGGGCAGTTCGAATCTCACCAGGCTGAAGGTTGACTCAGCCTTCCATCCCTCTGAGGTGGGTAAAATGAGGACCCAGATTGTGGGGGGCAATAGGCTGACTCTAACCGCTTAGAAAGGGCTGTAAAAGCACTGTGAAGCGGTATGTAAGTCTCAGTGCTATTGCTCTGCACAGAAATGTTGAGCTTAGTTGTGATCTTAACTTGAGGACGACCTGTAATATTGCTTTGTAACCTACTCAATGTCATAGATACCATTGTACAGAATTTGGAAAGGTTTTCCTCAAAAGTAGTATAAACCTACTGACAACTATCTGTGTTTCTTGCAGCGAGATGAGCTTGGATGTAAAAAAACCAACAACAGACCACAACCATGAACTAAAGTGTGCGGTCCTTATTGTTGGATGAATATCGTTTTTCTCAGTTGCCTCTTAAGCTGAATATGCACTGAATTCTCACAGAAAAGGAGTGCCGCCATGGACGAGGAGAGCTTGGAAACAGCAATTCAGACTTACAGTGCCCAGTTGCAGCAGGTGGACTTGGCTTTGGGAGCTGGGCTGGACCCAACGCAACAGGCCGATCTAATCCAGCTGCAGGCCGATTTAAGGCAGCTGATAGAACTGACCGAAGCCAGCCTCCTTTCCGTGAAAAAAAGCAAGCTTTGTTCAGTTTTGGACACCGAGGCGCTTTCATCTGCCCACCCTCAACAGAGCAGTGGAGAAGCTGGTCATCTGAACGCCAGTGACGAATATGCTGCTTTTAAGGAAGCAATTGAACAAATAGGGGAAGAGGATGGTCCATTAAGGACTCAGGAGGACAGAGATGGGATGGGTGATGAAGAGGAGGAGGAGGAAGAAGAGGAGGAGGAGGAAGAAGAAGAAATAGCCAGCGGGATGAAAGTGAAAGCTCCTTACTACAGTTCCTGGGGAACCCTGGAGTATCACAATGCTATGATTGTAGGTAGCGAGTGTTTGGAAGATGGAGGGCCCGGAGTTAGGGTGCTCTACCTCTACCCAACTCACAAGTCTTTGAAGCCGTGTCCCTTTTTCCTGGATGACAAATGTCGATTTAAGGAGAATTGTCGGTAAGTAGATCAGCTGGTAGGGGATGGGATTCCTGATACGTCCCCAAAAGGCACTTCTTTCGCTATGCAGGGCACATCTTTGTGGGCAGAACCGTACTATTTTATTTTATTTATTTATTTATTTTTATTCATTTATTTTGTCGAGAGCTTACAATATAACAGAAACAAGAACAAACATACAATCTTATGTGATAAGACTGCTCTTTTCCTGCTTGGGGAAATCTTTGTATAGGTAGTCCTCGACTTATGACCCATAAATTCATTTTGCCAAGCAAAAGGAATAGGCTAGTATAGAACTCTTTATTGGCCAAGTGTGATTGGGCACACAAGGAATTTGTCTTCGTGCAAATGCTCTCAGTGTACATGAAAGAAAAGATACATTCGTCAAGAATCATAAGGTACAACACTTAATAATAGTCATAGGGTACAATAATCAAATCATACTAGGAAACAGTCAATATAAATCATAAGGATACAAGTGACAAAATTACAGTCATACAGTCACAAATGGGAGGGGATGGGTGATAAGGAGTGATGAGAAGGTTAATAGTAATAGTAGTGCAGACTTTGTACATAGTTGGACACTTTTGAGGGAATTATTTGTTTAGCAGAGTGATAGCGTTAGCGTCGTTTTGAGGGAAGGAGTTGAAACAGTTTAAGTCCGGGATGTGAGGGGTCTGGAGATATTTTCACAGCCCTCTTTTTGACTCGTGCAGGATACAGATCCTCCATGGAAGGCAGGTTGGTAGTAATTGTTTTTTTCTGCAGTCCTAATTACTCCCTGGAATCTGTGTTGTCCTGTTGGGTGTTAAGTGAGTCTGGCTTCCCCATTGATCTTGCAAAAGCTGCTCATAGGACTTGGGACACTATGACCGTCATTATTACGAGTCAATTGCCAAGCATCCAAATTTTGCTTATGTGTGGGACGCTGCCCACGGCCGTAAATGCAGCCCAATTGTCGACCAACTAAGATCTGGGGAGGCAGGGAGTGGAATCTATCAGTTCTTCAAATCTGGATCATGTGTGCTGTCAGGGAGGTCCGTCGTAACCTGCAATGGTCGCTAAGGGTCTGGTCATAAGTTGAGGACTTCCTGTATAAAGCTACGGGTGTTTTGAAACCAAGGCACTGACGATGGACTCTCCCTTCGTGGTCTTCATGGCAGGTTTTCCCATGGGCAGGTGGTATCCATTGAGGAGCTGCGTCCCTTCGAAGAGCCTGACCTCGGTTGTTTAGCTGTGGGGTCAGCCTGCCTGGCGAGACACCAGGATGGGATCTGGTACGCTGCTAAAATCACAGGTGAGGTGGCTTTTGGCATGCCCCATGGGTTTCATTGTGTGAAGAGTCTAGGGCGCTGTGATGACCTGGCACAAAGACAACACAGTCAGGTAATCAATAAGAGTCCCTTCATTAGCTCCAACTTTGCCTCCAATGTCCTGGTTACCTTCTGGCTGGAGAAAAACTCTCCCAGGTACAGCCTTTAACTACAGAGAATCAAGTCTAAAACGTGGTCAACAAAAACTGGAACTATAAGTCCAATCAAGGCAAAATGAGGTAATTAGTTCGGCAGGGCAGGAGCAAGAATTCCAGGCGTGAAAGGCACGGCAATAACTCAACACGGTTGGGAAGACACCGGGAACACAGATAAGCAAAGTCCACACAAGATAAACTCACGTTTGCTCCCACGTCGCACTCAGCATGCATCTCTTTTAAACTCTCTCATTCCCAGGTGTAGGGAATCAGGTCCCTTTCCTCCCCCGTAAGCCATGCAACCCACGTTGCTCCCTTCTCCGTTCCTCCCTGCGTGCCCTAAGATGAAGAGAGGGTGGGCCTGGATCTTCCTCTGAACTTCCTCTCCCTTGTTCTACCTCTCCCCTGCTCTGTCCAGCCAGACTTTGCCCTTCCCCAGTTTCCTCCACAGCCAATGGAGCTACACTCCCACTCCCTGTCAGCTGTTCCTCTTCCTCCTCGGATTCAGACTCCGACAGGGGCATGACAAATGCTGGCAGCCACACCTGGGACAGGTAGAACTCTGGCCTAGAATTGAGGACCCCTTCATTGCATCCAGATTTGGTGGATTGTTTGCTCTTTAAAGATCACATTTTTCCCCCTCGCTATTCCAAATTTGCTCATTCGTTTATTTAAAGTTTCCTTAGAAGCTTTCAGAGACCTGAGGCAGCCAAATGTTGGAAATGTAATCAGACTCCAGGTACTTATTTATTATATGTGGTGGATATGTGTGAAGGCAAGAACATACTGGACGAAAGTACATACATGGTTGGAGATGATGAAGCAACACACAGATTTTTAAACCAGAAGTATTTTTGTTAGGTATAATACCAGAAAATTATGACAAAGGGGCTATATACTTAATGTTACATATATTGACAGCAGTGATAATTGTATTTGCACAGTATTGGAAAAATGAGAACACCCTACCAGGTGAAAATACAATCCAGAAATATTGGAATGTGCAGAGATGGGTAGGTTGACATTGAAAATAAAATAAAGGAGACACAGACTACTATTTTATGTGGAATAGGTTTTATCAATGGTTAGAGATAAGAGGTAGAAATTAGATGAAAGAGTATTGTTATATGAATCTTGTTTATAATTATATGTATATCAATATACGTATTTAATAGGAACATAAATAAGTGAATATGATTATAGATATGGTTAGAATTATTTTGTTATTATTACTATCAGTATATGTGTTATCTTTTTTTTCCCGTTCCTTTTTGTAAAATGGTATACCCGGACAATACACAGTATTCCAAATACTTATATATATATATATATATTTTTAAAAACTGACTTAAAAAAAAAAAAGACCTGAGGCAGCCCATTTTTTTTTTTGCCATCCTTTGAATTCAATGTTGCTTAATCTCAGCAACTTTTAAGACTTTTCAAATCCCAGAATTCCCCAGCCAGCCAATCACCTGGAGAGTTTGAGTTCTA